TCTATGATGATATACCACATATATTTTATCTGTTTTCAGGGAATAGCTTATTAGTCTGCATATATATGTTTCTCCTATTTTTTTTCTTTTTGGGGTTTTTGCTTTAAAAATCAGATATTATCAGGGCAGCTTTTTTGGTGGGTATATTCATTTTTTTTTTTTAAATCAACCTTTGTTTTTATTCTATAATTGAAACCTTTCTTTTATAAATAAATGTATTTCATTTACATTTAATGATCTAAAAGTATGTGCCTTAGTCCTGTCATCTCTAGTTTATGTATGTGGGCTATATTTTTGTCATTGTTGTTGTTGTGTATGTTTTCTGACTGAGTTAGAATATTGAGAACCTGGCTTTCTTTTTTCAACTGTTTAATATTCTTTTTTTATATGAGCAATCTTCTGGCTACAAAGATACAATAAATATTTAAATGATAAAAAAAACACCATTTTCAAAACAACATCAAAAAGTATCTTTAGCCGTATCAGCTGATCAGCAAATGGGGGAGTGGAGTAAGAGTTCCTGCAGTAACATGTTTAAATGAACTGTTGACAGAGAAAGTTGGCTTAAGGAGGCAGAGAAATTTTGTCTTGTAGGAATTAAAACTGAGGGGGCTTCATAACCATCTGGCATCTACTCAGTGTTGTACCTATGATTAGAAATGTATATGACAGGAACTCCAGGAATCTTCCTGATTATTCATTTGAGGATGGCCACACTGTAACACTTCTGCTGAAGTTACTCTCCGGAAACAGTTCTCTGCATAAATGCTTCTTTATGTGCATAGTAATCATTCAAATCTTGGATCCCTGGCAATCCTTAGAGCCACTTGATACTTCTGCCCCAGTTTCTCAATTTCTGTCATTACATAGTTATACAGGGATATAGTTGGCATACAGACAGTTCAACTAAGTTCAGCTTGGCTTTAATGGAAAAGCTGGTAAAATTGGTACCAACCAGGATGTGGTCAGGTGTGCCCAACTGTGTATTATATTTGAAGAATAAACAGGAAGGGTGTTGGGTGACTTTCCTTCAGTGCACTGGGATCTTTCTTTTGCCTTTTAAGTTTTAAACTATCCTTTTCTGTAACCTCTGAGACCAGGCATTTGCTGCATAGTCAGAGACTACCTTGCTTTCTTTTGCTTCCCTATGTTCACATTGCACTCTACTTGATATTCTTTAACCCTCATCTTGACTTACCAGCTTTACAGGGTATCTATTGAGTCCTCACAATAAAACTTATAAACGTATTTTTTTTTCCATTTTAGTTAAACCGTTATTTCTAGGATGCCACACATAGCATTTCTTCCACCTCTCCACATCCCAATTTTAGTTACATTGTTTTTTCTGATCTCTATCCTTGCTACATTAAAATGGACAGAATGTTCATTAAAATTTCTTTTCCACTGTGACAGTCCCATCTCTAGGCTCTTTATTTTAGCTAGTTGCATGATTGTGTCCTTTTTAAAGAAGAGTTCCTATATGCTATATTCCCTCCCCATTTCACATATTTGAAAATATCCATCTGTATTTTTATGCCTGAATGTCATATTGACTTAGTATAAAAATTTTAGTAACAGAAGTTCTTTCTATGGAGAAGTAGTAAATACTGTTTCATGGTCTTCCAATGCTCAATTTCGTTTTTTTTTTTTTTTACTGATTCTGAGGAAAGATTGTTCTCCCCATCCTATTCCCAACATTATTTATCCTTGAATTCTGACAAACTCACCACACAGCTCAGTGGTCAATCATTACCAGTATTTCCTTAATATGATGTGACCCTGACCTTTCAGATTCATGTTCTTATTAAAAAAACAAAAACAAAAAACACCAAACTTTTTTGATTTAAATATTTTTTGCTAACTCTTCCTTTTGTTTTCATTACATATCCTGAATTTTCTTTGATTCTTTTCTATTCCATTTTTCTTTCTATTAAAGCCTTCTTCACTGTTCCTATTTATTTTACTTTATTTTTTTTTCTTTTATAGAGGCATGTTTTATTTATTTGTTTGTTTGTTCGTTTGTTTTGTTTATACATGCACTGGGTACAGTCAGAAGCGCGGGAGGGTGAGAGAATTCACCAGAGCGGGGAGCAGAACAGGCAGAAGGACCGAAGTACACTGCTGAGGGGAGCAGCGGGCGGCAGGAGAGGTCTGCGCACCATGTGGGACCCTCCTCCGGTGGCCGGGGAGCAGCCGGGAATCGAACCGGCGCTGCAGAGGCTGCAGGCAGCTTCGCAACCCAGCGCTCAATCGCTGCGCCACCGGGGAGGCCCCCTATTTATTTTTTATGCTAGTCAAGAAATATACATCTCAACTGTTACATGGGATTGCACTGTGCATATGTAGGATAAATTTACTGATGTTGCTATTAGACACATAAATTATCTCCAGTTTTTCACTATTATACAGATCCACACACGAAGTGGTAAACTTACCCTAATTTCTACTAAGGGAGCTTAATGTCAAAAAAATTTAAATCAGGCTTGTGAATCCATTTTCTTATCTTCTCTGATATAGTCAACTTTAAGGTAATCAGCAAATGATGACTGATTTTTAAGCAATTCCAGGTCACATAAAAATGAGATACCTTTTGTGTCTAAGCATATTAAGGAAATCTCCAGATTAAAGAAAGTGGTTTGGTGATGGTTTCTTCTGCACTCTCAACAAAGACATTAAACAATGGTAGGGGTGAAAAATAGTGTAATCTCCATGGAGCTGTATTTGATGTTACCTATTGTGCTGGATATTTTCTCTTGATCCCTCTAGATCTACCCTTAGTCTGTGCCCCAGAAGGCTAACCAAATGGACTGTGTCAGTGGATTCCTTTGCCTCTGGTTTCTGACTGGAAGCTAATGGGAGGCACCAGCATGATAGTGAAGCATATATAAGGAGAATGAAATTGGGTATTTATTCTAGCAGCTCTCTCTCAGTTGGATTGCCACAGGTAGGCTATATCTAATTACTGAAATTCATAAATCCTGTCAGATGACCCTTCCTGTATAGCTATTCCCTTTGTGGTCTGGTGATAATTTCCCTTGTTCCACTATGCCTAAAGATAAAAATAGCTTTCTACCACTGCTAGTTTTGGGTACCTGTATCATTTCTCTTGGCTTCTCTAAAAATCTTCCTATGTTTGCAAGTCTGCTAGCCTAGAAAGTTATCCTGCATATACTTAAATTGATATGTGTATGTTTATCATAGCCTTATATTTATAATATACTGGAAATATAATATAGTTAATAGCATTAACTACACAGTGCTATAAAAAATTAGAACATGCAGTCATCTATGGAAATATATCAATTTATTTTTTCTAACCTTTACTATTTTAGTACATTTTCTTCACATATTCAAGGTTCCCCAAAATATATGTAAAGCCTTATTTAAACCTTGGTGATCATATAAGTGTTTAGTTCACTATGCTCTTCTCCCCATCTTTGTTACTGTTTCTAACTAACTGAGGTTTGATATAAAAATACTGTATACCTTTAATGAATACATATTGATGAATTTGGACATATGCATACATCTGTGATACTGCTATAACTAAGGTACTAAAACATATCTGTCATCTCCAAAACTTCCTTGTGTTTTTTTTTTCTTTTTTTAAGATTTTATTTATTTATTCATACAAGCACTGGGTACAGTCAGAAGTGCGGGAGGGTGAGAGAATTCACCAGAGCCAGAGCGGGGAACAGAACAGGCAGACTGACTAAGTACACTGCTGAGGGGAGCAGTGGGCACGGCAGGAGAGGTCTGTGCGCCTTGCGGGACCCTTGCCGGCTGCTGGGGATAGAACCGGCGCTGCAGAGGCTGCAGGCAGCTTCGCAACCCAGTGCTCAACTGCTGCGCCACTGGGGAGGCCCTCCTTGTGTTCTTTTGTAGTTTATTTATTCATTTTTAGTTTAGTAAAAACATTTAACATGAGATTGATCAATCCTCTTAACCTCTTTTAAAGTACATAACACCCCATTTTTAAACTATAGATACTATGTTGTACAGCTCTCTAGAACTTATCCATCTTGTATAACAGAAACATGGAAAAAAGGAAGGCACCAAACAATGACTATAGCATGCTAGTGTTTATGTTAGAGAAAAAAGAAGTTAAAGAATATATATGCATATTTGCTTTTATATACATGTGAGAGCATGTGTAGGGGAGGGGGAGAGAAAGAGGAAGTGTCTTTGGAAGTGTACAAAAGAGAATAATACTGATTGCTTCTGGGGAAAACTGGGTAGTAGGAAACTTTTTACCATTCTTTTGTTTCTTTGAATATTCAATCATATGAATGTACTGAATATTAAAAAAGTGTATTACATTAATGATAAGGATTAACTGAGAAACTAAGAAAGAATCAGGAAATTGCTAAAGGAATCACTAGAAGATAATGGGAAAACCCAGCAATTTATAAAGTTGCTGAAATGTTCTAAGAAGTGAAAGTTTTGGATAATTTAATTTCATGCCATGGCTCCTTTATGGAATTATACCTTGCTATGAATTTTTTGTAGGAGTTACTTCCTCTTCACTGTTGAATGCACAAAACCAGGGATGATAAAGGTTTGTTTTAAACACAATCAAATTTGGGCTTCCCTGGTGGCTCAGGGGTTAAAGTCTAAGCACTACCAAGCTTGCCAGCCACTGTGGCACAAGTTCAATTCTCAGCCAGGGAGCTGACCCACATGGCAGGCCTCTCCTATCTTGCCCGCTGCTCCCCTCAGCAGTGTATTTCAGTCAATTCACCTGTTCTGCTCCCCACTCTGTCTCTGATGAAATCTTTCACCCCCCCCCCACACCTCTGGCCTACACCCCAGTTCTTGTATTCATAAATATATACAAATAAATCTTTAAAAAATGAATAAACATGATCAAATTTACTATTAATTTGCTTTAGTTCTGTTAGCTTTTTCCTAGCTTGGTTTAAAAAGTCATCTTAATATTTCTGCTCTTAAAAATAGCAGGCCTCTTTTAAAATAGTTCTGTAAGACACAGGGAAACTCACCCTTCCTGGAACTGTGCTTGGGCTGACTCCTCGGCCACAAGAGTCTCATACTCTTCAGCAGCAAACCTGTCCCAGTCGGAGGGCTCAGGCCCGTCATTCTCAACATCCTTAGAGAAAAGAAGAAAGTCACAGGAAACAAAAATATTCAGACACAAAGAAGTGGAGACAGATCATCACAAATGTACATCACTAAAAAAAAACAAACAAACCCTATGCAAAAATTTTTTATTTCAACACATTAAGAGATGCTAAACTAGCTCTCCTAAAGTGATTTTCTATACCTCAAAATAATAATTATCTAAATAAATAATCTAAATAATATATATAATTGCAAAATTCTAATTAACTGTTTAGCAGCTAGGTTCTTTAGATCTAGATTCTTTATTGTTAAATAACTTATTTTATATATTTTACATTACTTTTCATTTTTTTAATTAATATTTGCTTTCTTTTCTCAGATGTAGTCCCCATAGAAGTTCCACCACCAATTCCCCTGTGCACCATCACCATAGTCCCTTGTGCTCTTCCCTCTCTCTTTTTGATCCCTCTCCCTCTCCTGCAGAAAGTCACTGATTTATAGTTGTCTGTTTATTTTTGTTTTGTTGTGTTTTTTATTGTTGTTATTTTTTCCCCTGATCCTTTATTTGGTTCCCCTATAGTCCTCCTGTAAGTGAAACCATCCGATATTTTCCTTTTTCCTTCTGACTTATTTTACTGAGCATAAGCCCTTCCAGCTCCATCTATGTTGCTGCAAGTGGTATTAGTTTATCTTTTTTGATTGCTGAATAGTATCTCATTGTGTATATACACCACATTTTCTTGATCCAGTCATCTATTTTTGGGCATTTGGGTTGTTTCCAAGTTCTTACCTATTATAAATAGTGCTGCAATAAACATAGGGGTGAAGGTCTAGATTCTTTAGCCTTGTAATCAGAGATCTTTCTCTAGTCCCTTCTACCCCAGTATATATATTTTTTTTTTTAAGATTTATTTATTTATTTATACAAGCACTGGGTACAGTCAGAAGCGCGGGAGGGTGAGAGAATTCACCAGAGCCAGAGCGGGGAGCAGAGCAGGCAGAAGGACTGAAGCACACTGCTGAGGGGAGCAGCGGGCGGCAGGAGAGGTCTGCGTGCCATGTGGGACCCTCCTCTGGTGGCTGGGGAGCAGCCGGGGATTGAACCGGCGCCGCAGAGGCCGCAGGCAGCTTCGCAACCCAGCGCTCAACAGCTGCGCCACCGGGGAGACCCTACCCCAGTATATTTTTATTGCTTCTTTAAAGGCCAGCTCAAACTTAATGTCATCTGTCATATCTTCCGGGAAACACTCCTCCTCCCCCAAATAATTTCCCTTGCTGTACTAAATATGCTTGGTGGCTGTCTTTTATTCTTTTTCATCTCTATATGACCAGTGTCTCTTCAACACAGTGCCTGGGTTTACTGAGTATTTTCTGACTAATACTGTTCTTTGCAGATCTTAAATATTGATAATTACCATCTCTTTTAAAGAAAATGAAACTTTTAAAGTAGAAATTTTAAAGTAAAATTTATGAATCAAAAGAAACAGGGGGAAAAGCCATACTTCCCCCCCCACCCTGTTTCTACAACATGGGCAAATATTTTAGGTTATATATTCTAGGTAAAATGATATTTTTCAACATGAAAATGAGTTAGCACTGCCCTAGAATGTAAGATTTGTTATGCCTGTAAGAATCCACATACCTAATATTGACCACATGATGTGTTAATGTACTCAATCAATTGTAACCACTACCTTACCCCTTTAACATCTCTGAAACAGGCATGTACCTCAGAATTATAATAGCATTTTTTCTTGCTTAAAGGTATATAAAAAAATGGGGCATCTTAAATCAATGAAATTCATTATTGAGTTTAGGCTAGCAATATGTATCTTCGTATGCCCCAAGATCCGTTGAGTGTATTTGTTTTTAGAAGGTGATCTTCACATTGATAGTACTATTTGGATCACACAGTTATGTCACATGTGGAAGAAAAAAGAAAAGAATGTGAAAGCTTCCTGTAGATGTACTCCTCTAGGACCCAAATGAAACAGTCCTTTTCCATTCAAGTGTAGAATGACTCTAAACAGATTGCCATGAATAGCAATCACTAATACTTGAAAAATTTTATTAACTAAAAGCTGCCTATCACGAGGCACTTCTAGTTTTCATTATGATAGGGAAAGCTATTTACTATGGCATTCTGGAAATGAATGGTACAATTAAATCAAGCCCAATTATACTTTCTAAGGAAGATGTGCCTATTGATAACTTTTTTAAAAAAATTAGAAAAACAAAATTATTTTCAAAATGATTTTTGAAACTAGTTTCCAGTGGATATGTAAGTTTACGGCCATATAATTCACTCAGTGACAGGCAGATGCAGGTTAGCTAAACTTGAACGTTGGCTGTGGTGAGAGGTGCTCTATGTTTTTTCTTTTCTCTTTTCAGTATCTGATTAAATGTTCTACACGTTACTCTTTAAAAAGCAAAATTCATGAAGGCAGAGACCATTTTTATCTGTGGCACTGCCCCTGAAACCATAGTCCTCAAAGAGTTAAAACTATACTGTACCTTCTGGACTGCAAAGGGATCTCTCTGTTCATGATCTAAGTATTTCTCCAGATTAAAGAAAGTGTCATAAAAGATGTGAGCCATTCTGCATCTCTTCAGATCTCGTAGCGTTATTTTGCCTACATAAAAATGAAGACATTTGATTTGACCAAGCACGATTTTGGCAAATGAAAAAACTTTCAATTAAGTGTAAAAGTTTATTTATGTGCTTATTTTATTATAAAAATTGTATTTTTTCTTTTTTTTGAGGTAAAATTCACCATCTTAACCCCACTTTAGGATACACAATTCAGTGGCTTTTAGTATATTCACAGTGTTGTGCAACTATTACCACTGTCAAGTTTCATAACATTTTCATCACCCCAGAAGAAAATTCTATACCCATCATTAAATAGCCCGTCCCCACCTCCCCTCATCCTGCTCCCCATCATTAATCTGCTTTTCCCTTTCTATGCAAATCCTATTTCTTAGGATTTGCCATCAATTATTGGTTTTGCACTAATAGTAAAGGAGAAACTTAAACATTTGGAATGGGTAGGTAAGACTCTAGTAAATTCAGTAATTTAGGGTAATCCAGGATTATGTGCCCATATTCTTACACAGGGGAACAGAGTTAACAGCCCTTTCCTCAATCTCACCATCACTTGCTGGCTTCACTAGGTCAAGCATCTGGCATAGCAAATCATGGAATGGCAGTGGCTCAATGCCCATAGCTTCCATCCGTTCACATTGCTCCTCGTAGAAGTATTCCAGCTCGTACATGGAGAGTACACCATCCCCATCCACATCCATGCAACGGAACCAATACTCAATGCTAGGAGATGAGGACACTCGTTAGCAAGGGCCTGGTAAAGGTCCATTATTCGCTCAGATTTATTATCGCCCATATTTTTTTAAATAAAAGTTACAAGTTGTATATTTTAGACATACAGGGTTATAGTTTTATAAAATTTGTTAGTAAAAACTGCATACCCTTCTTCCCTCAATTTTCTCTTCCTGAGATCCAACTACTTTCAACATCTGGTTATTCTGATTTTTATCTTTATATTTTCAGATAAGATGCCTATTTGCTCCTTTATATTTGTGTATTACTTTCACATTATGAAAAGATAAGGTTTTAGCTCTCTATTTACCTACCTGCCTTGTCCAATCTCCTAATATAAATAACTCAACATTTAATTTATAACAATATTTTTTCTCTCTTATCTGCTTCCTTTTTGTGTACCTAGTACTAATTCAACCCCAAAATCTCTGCTAGTTTTCTATATTTATAATTAGTCACTATTAATAGGATTTTCCTGATGAAGTGTTTCTTGTTTCCTTCTGACCTATTCTAATCTGGACTGGCTGATGTCCAGGCCTAATTCAGCTTCATCTGAGATCTTACATCTTTCTCCTTTCTTGTAGCTTACATTTTCCTTATTCTTGGTTTACTTTCTTGTTTGGTATAACATATCCTTCAGTTGCTTCCTGAAAAAGGCATATGGATTTTTTTCAGTAATAATGATCTTGAACATCTTTTCATATACTCATTGCCTATTTGTATGTCTTCCTTTTCCTATTTTAAAAATTGGGTTGTTATCTTGTTATGCTATATTTATTTGAGTTCCTTGTGTATTTTGGATACTACCTTCCACGAGATATATGGTTTGGAAATATTTTTTCTCATTATGTAGGTTTTCTCTTCATTCTGATGTATTTCTACTTTCTATTTTTGGTTTTATTGCCTGTGCTTTTCAGGTTCTATCCCAAGAGATCAAATTGCACATGGATATGTCACCAAGCTTGTTTCTTATGTTTTCTTCTAGTAGTTTTATAATTTTAGGTCTTACATAAAGTCTTTAATCCATTTTGAGTTGACTTTTGCATTTAGAGTGAAAAAAGGGTTGAATTTCATACTTTTACAGGGGATAACTGTTTTCCCAATACCCTTTAAGAGTGTCCATTCTATGTGTGTGTTCTTGGCAGCCATGCTGAAGGTCACCTGAACTTAAATAGGTGGATTTATTTCTGACCTCCCTATTCTGTTCATTAGTCCATTTGTCTGTTCATGCATAAGATGCTGTTTTTATTACTGGTCTGTAGAGTCTCTTGAAATCAGGTAGTATGTGATGTATCCATTTTTGTTCTTGGTGCTCAAGATTTTTGTAGTAATTCCTGATCTTTTGTGGTTCCTTATGAATTTTAGTTTTTTCTGTTTTTTTTTTTTTTTTGTGAAAAATGTCACTGGAATTTTGATAGGTATTTTTTGAATTTGTGTATATATTAACTAGGAATTTTCTCAACACATGGAGATAGGCTATCTTTCCATTTATTTGTATTATCTCCAAGTTCTCTCATCAATATTTTAAAGTTTTCACCTTAGAGATCTTTCACTTCCTTGGGTAAATCAGGTCTTCAGAATTTTATTTGATGCTACTGTAGGTGGGATTGTTTTGTTAACTTCTTTTTCAGATAATACATTGTTGGTGTATAGGAATGTAAGTAATTTTTGTATGTTGATTTTGTATTTTGCAATACCCTGAAACCCTTAGCTCTTGTGAAGGTATATTTGCTTCATGTAGTTAGTTGTTCAAGTTGATGTTTACTGAGGGGGAAAAGCAATGGAAACCTCTATTTTGCCATCTTGCTGACATCAGTCTCATGGCTAAATTTAAAAATTACATGTATGACTTGCATCATATTTCACTTTCCGGTTATGTTGGATTTTTTGGACCAGCTCTCTAATTTTCATGTCTTTTCTCAATCTTTTATTGCTTAATCTTTGTTCTTTTGGGGAGATTTACTTAGTTATATTTTCTGAATATTTTGTATTTTATTTTTGTTATAGTTCTGATTTCCCAGGGTTCTTTTTTGGTTCTCTGAATGTGCCTTTTATGAAAGTTACTATTCTGTCAATTTAATTTCTTCTGTTATCTCTCTAAGGATATTAACAACTGTCCTTTTTATTGTTACTGCCAAAGTTTTCTTCCTAAAATTCTGTTTCATCCAAGTTACTACCCCCCCCTTCTATTTAGTTTCTGTGTTTTATTGAAGAGAATAAACTCAGGTATTTATTGAAGAGAATATACTCAGGTAGTGTTTCTTTGTTCTCTGCTCACATGTAAGCAATAAGTGCTAAAAAGGAGATTGAAAGTATTGTCTTATTGTTGACTCTAGTATTTATTTTAAAATGACTTTTGACTAGGTTTTTTCCTCATTGAATTAAAAGTCAAGACTTCAAGTCTGTTTTGTTGGGCTGCTCAGACACCCCAGGAAAGTTATCTTTTAGTCTTTGGCCTGGAGGTTCAGGACAGGTTGCAGGTTACTGCAGTTGTATGAGGAATGAAGAGCAGGCATCTCATTTTTCAGTATACATATACTCAGTCTGTGTAGTTGCACTAAGATCTGTGTTTACTTTTTATTCAGAAAGAGATTTTAGATTACAACAGAGTTGAACAGGTATTACTTGCAAAGTTCTGTTGTGAAATCTATTTTAAAAATGTACCAGGTTTATGTTTAATGTTACCATCAATGAAGAAAGGGCACACTAATTTAATCCAACAAATACAAGGTAGTAGAATTTGGCCACTGTGAGGTCCAGTCATACTATATCTAATTTGAGATTTATAGAAGGGGTAGAATACTGCATCATTTTGAAACATTTTGTGATTGTTAAAAAAACTTTAAGGAGATAGGTCTCATGAGCAGAAACCTTCATTAAATGTGGTAATGTGTGGTTGCTATACCATTGTGTCATTATTTTTTAGTAGGCTGTCCTATGGTCTCTCTGTATCTTGAAATTCTTATTACTTAAGATTAAAAAAAATGTGGGATAAGAACATGTGTATTGATTTTGACAAATACCTAATAGAATTCAAGTGAAAGCAACTTATTTTGTTGAGAAATATAAACTACTTTAGTCAGTTGCATTTTCAATTAAGAACTAAAGAATCTATATGATAATGATATATCATATACCTCACTTCTTTTTAATATACTAGAAGAAAGGTAGAATGCAAGAGAAAGTTAAAATGCAATCTATCTCTATATCTAGAGATAGATTTACTGCCTCCCTATTTGCCAAACTCACATGATAGAGGTCTTTAAATATTTGAAAGAGCATCATGTAGTAGATTAATCAAATATAATCCTCTGAAAATTAGCATAAAAAGGATTAATTTACAAAAATAGAAGATAATTTTAGACTGAGAGTTAGAAAAATGAACAGAATACCTCAGTATAGAGTTATTTGTCCCTGAAAGTTTAGAAGCAGGGACTGGATGACTAACCACATATAAAAACATGCTTAGGGAAATTTTCTTAGTGGAAATACTAGAGAGTCTTTTAAGTTTCTTTCAATGCAGATTTTCTTTTTGATCAAAGGTAACATTTTCTCAGAGTTTAGAAGTAATGACTTTCATTGCAGAGAAATTAGAAGACAGGAAAGTACACAGAAGGAATAATTAATTACTCAATGAGAAGCGATGTCAATTTTTTTTTATATTTTTGCCACCAATTTTCAGTTTTAAAGCATAATAATATTCATTACAAATTGTATTTGTATAATTTTTAAAAAAGATTTGTTTGTTTGTTTGTTTATTTATACAAGCACTGGGTATAGTCAGAAGCACGGAAGGGTGAGAGAATTCACCAGAGCCAGAGCAGGCAGCAGAGCAGGCAGAAGGACTGAAGCACACTGCTGAGGGGAGCAGCAGGTGCTGCAGGAGAGGTCTGCGTGCCATGTGGGACCCTCCTCCGGTGGCCGGGGAGCAGCCAGGGATCGAACCGGCGCCGCAGAGGCTGCGGGCAGCTTTGCAACCCAGTGCTCAACAGCTGCACCACCGGGGAAGCCCTGTATTTGTATAATTGTAGGCATAAACAACATTACCTCTTGCCCTTGGGCTGAATAAAATTAACCTGTGTACCAGAGATTTCTCATCCCTGATATAAACTCCTATAAACTATTCAAGAAGGAAGTTGTAAGAAATTCCACTATTGGTTAGGGAGTAGCTAAATGTTTATTTATTTCCATGCTCAGTATACATATTTTAGCTCCTACAACTTTCAAAGGCACTGGCCTAGTAGACTCAGACATAAAAATTAGTGTGGCTAGAGAGGATACCTAGTCAGAAGACTATGGTAGACAAGAATGTGATAAACAACCATCACCTGGACAGAAGGGTTAAAGGACACCCCAAAAGAGGATTGCGAGAATTGTCCACAAAAACCAATTTACCTGAAGACACTTTCAGTATCTAAACACGATAGAAAAGATTCAAGATTCTAATTTTGCAGGAAGTATTCCACACAGCACTCACCATTAACTTCTTTAGGAAATTTTTTGTACCCATGTCTTTCATAAGCTGCAAACTAGATTTCTACAATGTTGTCTTTTACATTTTGTTAAGTAAGAATTTAATTTTGATGTGTAATTTTCTTCAGTACTTTAAAACACTGAGATTTAACTGTCTTCTGCTCACATTCTGCTTCAGTAAGGCACAGTGAACACTAAGAAACATGATGAATACATAATAAATACCAGAGTCAAGGAAACAAATATAGGTTGAATTCAGGAGTTACTTTCTTCTATACTGACTTAATTTTGAATCTCTTTTAAGTAGTAAGGAATTTCTTAGTAACAAGAGAACTTTCTTTGGGAGATTCCACAGCCCAGTTAAGAAAACAGACATATAAACATACTTTTTGCTGTGGTAGGTCATGCATTAATGTGAAAAAGAGTCCAGGATTTGCAGTCATACATGTATTAGTTTGACTCCAAGTGAGGTCACCTACTATGTGTGTACCCTCTCAGAACTTGTTTCCTCAACTGTA